TAAACAAAATATTAGGAACTTCCATTTATACCCAAACATTAAACACAGAACCTAGCATACACACATCAAGTGAAAAATTAATAACACCGACAGTGATAACATCAACGACTGACACAGGTGAACCAAGATCAAGACATACATCCGAAGGAACTTCTACATCTCTCTACACTGAAGTGCCAGATACACATAGTTTTAGTACAGTATCTACCAATGGGGCAGCATCGTCAACAAAGAAAGATATGAGTGAAATCTCCTCTTTACATACAACGCAAAAAATATCAGAAACGTCTACTTCACCAGAAATGTTCAGCACAACGCAAGGTACAGAAAGTAGCTCAACTCCATCTACTGCCCAATCACTAAGAACAACAGAGCACGTTAGTGAAACATCGTCTGTTCATCTAACTGAAGGAACAACAAAAGTCTCGAATTTTTCGCCAACGTTCAGCACAACCGAAAGTATGTATACCTGTATCTTCCTTTGTTGAAGATGCTGTCCAAGGGGTAGATACTGTACTAGAACTATGTGTATTTGGCACTTCAGTGAAAATAGATCTAGCAGTTCCTTCGGATGTAAATAAATATCTTGGTTCACCTGTGTCAGTCGTTGATGTTATCACTGTCGGTGTTATAGATTTTTCACTTGATGTGTGTATGCTAGGTTCTGTGCTTAATGTTTGGGTATAAATGGAAGTTCCTAATATTTTGTTTATTGTTCTTTCAGATGATGTTCCAATCGTATCTTCCCTTGTTGAAATTACTTTCTGTGTCGTGGGGTATCCACTGGAGGTATACATACTTTCGGTTGTGCTGAACGTTGGCGAAAAATTCGAGACTTTTGTTGTTCCTTTAGTTAGATGAACAGACGATGTTTCACTAGCATGTTCTGTTGTTCTTAGTGATTGGGCAATAGATGGTGTTGAGCTACTTTCTGTAGCCTGCGTTGTTTTGAACGTTTCTGGTGAAGTAGACGTTTTTGATATTTTTTGCGTTGAGAAGATTTCATTTATATCTTCTTTTGTTGACAATGCTGTCCCAGGGGTAGATACTGTACTAGAACTATGTGTATTTGGCACTTCAGTGAAGACAGATGTAGGAGTTCCTTCGGATGTAAGTACAGATCTTGGTTCACCTGTGTCAGTCGTTGATGTTATCACTGTCGGTGTTATTATTTTTTCACTTGATGTGTGTATGCTAGGTTCTGTGCTTAATGTTTGGGTATAAGTGGAAGTTCCTAATATTTTGTTTATTGTACTTTCAGATGAGGTTCCAATCGTATCTTCCCTTGTTGAAATTACTTTCTGTGTCGTGGGGTATCTACTGGAGGTATACATACTTTCGGTTGTGCGGAACGTTGGCGAAAAATTGGAGACTTTTGTTGTTCCTGTAGTTAGATGAACAGACGATGTTTCACTAACTTGCTCTGTTGTTCTTAGTGATTGGGCAGTAGATGGAGTTGAGCTACTTTCTGTACCCTGCGTTGTGCTGAACATTTCTGGTGAAATAGACGTTTCTGATATTTTTTGCGTTGTATGTAAAAAGGAGATTTCACTCATATCTCTCTTTGTTGACGATGCTGCCCCATTGGTAGATACTGTACTAAAACTATGTGTATTTGGCAATTTAGTGTAGACAGATGTAGAAGTTCCTTCGGATGTATGTCTTGATCTTGGTTCACCTGTGTCAGTCGTTGATGTTATCACTGTCGGTGTTATTATTTTTTCACTTGATGTGTGTATGCTAGGTTCTGTGCTTAATGTTTGAGTATAAATGGAAGTTCCTAATATTTTGTTTATTGTTCTGTCAGATGATGTTCCAATTGTATCTTCCCTTGTTGAAATTACTTTCTGTGTTGTGGGTTTTCTACTGGAGGTATACATACTTTCGGTTGTGCGGAACGTTGGCGAAAAATTGGATACTTTTGTTGTTCCTTCAGTTAGATGAACAGACGATGTTTCACTAGCATGTTCTTTTGTTCTTAGTGATTGAGCAGTAGATGGTGTTGAGCTCCTTTTTGTAGCCTGCGTTGTACTGTACGTTTCTGGTGAAGTAGACGTTTTTGATATTTTTTGCGTTGAGGAGATTTCACTTACATCTTCCTTTGTTGACGATGTTGTCCAAGGGGTAGATACTGTACTAGAACTATGTGTATTTGGCACTTCAGTGAAGACAGATCTAGGAGATCCTTCGGATGTAAGTACAGATCTTCGTTCACCTGTGTCAGTCGTTGATGTTATCACTGTCGGTGTTATTATTTTTTCATTTGATATGTGTATGCTAGATTCTGTGTTTAATGTTTCGGCATAAAAGGAAGTTCCTAATATTTTGTTTATTGTACTTTCAGATGATGATCCAATCGTATCTTTCTCTGTTGAAATTACTTTCTGTGTTGTGGGTTTTCTACTGGAAGTGAAATCTCCTCTTTACATACAACGCAAAAAATATCAAAAACGTCTACTTCACCAGAAATGTTCAGCACAACGCAGGGTACAGAGAGTAGCTCAACTCCATCTACTGTCCAATCACTAAGAACAACAGAACATGCTAGTGAAACATCGTCTGTTCATCTAACTGAAGGAACAACAAAAGTCTCCAATTTTTCGCCAACGTTCACCAAAACCGAAAGTATGTATACCTCCAGTAGATACCCCATGACACAGAAAGTAATTTCAACAGAGAAAGATACGATTGGATCATCCTCTGAAAGTACAATAAACAAAATATTAGGAACTTCCATTTATACCCAAACATTAAGCACAGAACCTAGCATACACACATCAAGTGAAAAAGTAATAACACCGACAGTGATAACATCAACGACTGACACAGGTGAACGAAGATCTGTACTTACATCCGAAGGAACTCCTACATCTGTCTTCACTGAAGTGCCAAATACACATAGTTCTAGTACAGTATCTACCCCTGGGACAGCATCTTCAACAAAGGAAGATATAAGTGAAATCTCCTCAGTGCAAAAAATATCAAAAACGTCTACTTCACCAGAAACGTTCAAAACAACGCAGGCTACAGAAAGTAGCTCAACACCATCTACTGCCCAATCACTAAGAACAACAGAACATGCTAGTGAAACATCGTCTGTTCATCTAACTGAAGGAACAATAAAAGGCTCCAGTTTTTCGCCAACGTTCAGCACAACCGAAAGTATGTATACCTCCAGTAGAAAACCCACAACACAGAAAGTAATTTCAACAGAGAAAGATACGATTGGAGCATCATCTGAAAGTACAATAAACAAAATATTAGGAACTTCCATTTATACCCAAACATTAAACACAGAACCTAGCATACACACATCAAGTGAAAAAATAATAACACCGACAGTGATAACATCAACGACTGACACAGGTGAACGAAGATCTGTACTTACATCCGAAGGAACTCCTACATCTGTCTTCACTGAAGTGCCAAATACACATAGTTCTAGTACAGTATCTACCCCTTGGACAACATCGTCAACAAAGGAAGATATAAGTGAAATCTCCTCTTTACATACAACTCAAAAAATATCAAGAACGTCTACTTCACCAGAAACGTTCAGTACAGCGCAGGCTACAGAAAGTAGCTCAACACCATCTACTGCCCAATCATTAAGAACAACAGAACATGCTAGTGAAACATCGTCTGTTCATCTAACTGAAGGAACAATAAAAGGCTCCAGTTTTTCGCCAACGTTCAGCACAACCGAAAGTATGTATACCTCCAGTAGAAAACCCACAACACAGAAAGTAATTTCAACAGAGAAAGATACGATTGGAGCATCATCTGAAAGTACAATAAACAAAATATTAGGAACTTCCTTTAATACCGAAACATTAAACACAGAACCTAGCATACACATATCAAGTGAAAAAATAATAACACCGACAGTGATAACATCAACGACTGACACAGGTGAACGAAGATCTGTACTTACATCCGAAGGAACTCCTACATCTGTCTTCACTGAAGTGCCAAATACACATAGTTCTAGTAC